GGCTCTGGGCGCTGCCGTGTCTTTCTCCGCTCGAGGAGGCTGGAGGCGTCTGCACGGGACCCGAGAGCTACTGGGTGAGTGATGGGCTGGATCCTGCCGCCTTCGTTGTTGGTCGGGTGCCTGTGCCGCTGGCCTGCTGCAGGTGCGTGTGGCGGAGCTGCGGCGTTAAATAAGGGACGTGAGGGTAGGTGGTGCTGGGGGAGAAGTAAAGGCCGTCCAAGGTGTTGGGGGGGGTGTGAGCACTTCGTGTTAGTGACCGGGTAGGTGTGTAGGGTGGCAACGCCGAGCAGGGCCGTTGGTGTACCGAGCAGGAGAGACTGAGTAGCAATGACGGATGGGGAAGTGTATGAGAGGCTATGGAGGTGGGTTAGTTTGGCAGGGTGCTGTTTAGTTTGGTCTCTGGAGGTGCTGGAAGTACATCAGGAAGGGTATGGGCTGATGGGAGAGAATTTGGAGAGGTGTGAGAATTATTAAAGGTCTAGAGAATGTCATTACTGAGAAGAAGCTGAAGGAATTGGAGTCTAGTGAGGAAAACAGGCTGATGGGAGATTAGGCCTTCAAATATGTAAATTTTGTGTTGTGGATAAAGAAAAGAAGTGCTTACAATTGAAAATAATTGAGTGTTTTCTAGCTGTGAGTGTAGCTCAGTACTGAGAAAGAAAGTTCTAGTGGGTTTTTTTTAATGTTTGGAGATTTTACCACTTTCGTCATCTCTTCATTCTACAAGTAATGTTTCAAGTAGCTGGAGAAGGGTGTGGAAACTATATTATATGTAATCCTTTTTTCTAACGGAGAAATGGAATTTGAATTTTTTAATTGCATGTCTAGCATACGTTGCTATGTAGACGTTAACCTGTGAGGTTATGCCAACAGCCTTTCAAAATACTTTTCCTCTTCTCAGGAGTTTGTTGTTACAGAATTATCAGGCAGTTCTTCTACTTACCTTCTGTATTTTCCTTTGTCTCTAAGAGATGTGGAAAGAGTTTTGGATGCCCAAATGAAATACGGTATTTTCTTCCCCTACTTGATCTGTTAGTTACAACTTGTAAAACATTTAAGCAATAATCAGGTGAATTGTTATTAGGTACTGGTGTGATATTGAGCATAAAATACCTGAAATCTTTGTTTTTGAAGTGCACTTAAAGAAGTGAGCTCTTGTTAACCTTGTGTAATAAAACTATGTTTGTTTCGTAGTAAAACTCAGTAGCAGTTTAGAGACTTGTTAATCATTGTGTCCTCGATCTGAGAATACCCTTCTTTCTAGCACTGGTTGTCTTTGCTGCTTTGCAGTATGAAAACTTTTCCTTTGCAAAACCTGATGGTTTTGAAACAAATGTTATTTATTTTCAAATTTTATAGAAAAAATTTGCTTCATTTTGTATAAAATATGTTTGTCTTTTTGTCCAATGCAGGATTAGCTACCTCTAAATTAGTCTTATTATCTGACTTCTTAAAGACATCTTGTCTACAGCCCTCCCAGGCAATCTATTGTAGTACTTTATATCTTTATGCTGAGAAAGTCTTATTTAATATGTAGCTGGAGTTAAATTATTAATTTTGGAAATGAGTGAATTTTTTTCTTCCTTACAGTAAACTTTTATGTATTAAGGTGTATCACACCTTTAACTTGTTCAGGCTTTTCTCATTGACTTGTTTCTTTGAACCCTCTTAGTACTCCTTACTTCTTTTCAAGGTGGTGCATATCTCAGTGACACCATTTTTAAAAAATATTTATTGTAGCCTCTAAAGTGAAAACAAAGAGAAAAGTCTTAACTTCTCTGGTAAAATATAGCTCTCGTGGACATAAAACTCACTCTTGGTTCCTAGTTTGAGAATTTAAAGTTAAGTAATTTTATTTTAGCATTAATTTTATTTCTCTACTTTTCTGTTTCTGAAAATGCCACCATATGAAATGTTTGATCCAGTGAATCTAGTTTTGTTTTATCATTTTATTTTTTTGCTTCTCTATCTGTTTCTGTCCTCTGTGGTGGTGGTAGAAGAGGGAGAAAGTTGTTCTGCATAGTCAAAACCAAATAATTCAGAATTGAACTCCTAGTTTGCTGGTTACAAGGAAGGAAGAAAAAATAGAATCAGTCTTTATGTTGGAGGTCTGTCGATTTTTCTTTGTTTTTAATGTTTCTTAATCTTATCATTGATGTCAGATTGGAGTAAATCTTTCAGTTCTCTACTGACTAAAGAGTATGGCTTAGGAAGTTATAAAAGTTATCTCTGGCAGGGTATGCTAAAGCATTTGTCTTCAGTTCATTGCAGGTTTTTTTGATTTGACAATGCTGTAGCTGTTTCCTGTCAAAGGAGAACAAAAAAAGGCAATGAACCTGTGTTATGCTGAATAAGCTTCAGTACAAAATTCACTGTCAGTGGGATTCTCAGATTGTAGTTAATAGGGTATTATAGAGCTCTACTGGTCTGCTCTTATCTTAAAGCCCTGCTCTTCAGTCTGTTTGATACACAGCCTAAACATGCATTGAATGTCCTTCATGGAGAAGGAAGGAGGCAGAAATGTTGTGCCCAGATTCAACTTGATTCTTAAAATGTGTCACCAAGAACAAATTCTCTTGGATACCTACAGGTTTTTCTTTAAAATACCAGCAGCTGCTATTTATGTGAAGTTCTTTTAAGTATTCCTTTTTTATTCAGATAATGATATCTAATAACTCAATTACTGTTGATAGCAGTAAAATTAATGGATGATGACTGGGAGTTCCAAAGTTTCATGTGCTCATGGCTCTAAATTCTATTATGCTGATGAGCTCTGTCTTTGAGATTCTGTGCGAATTACCAGAACTTTTTGCTTACCCATAATGAAAAAGCAATAATGTTTACTTCCCAGAATGCTTGTAAGGACTGCCTGTATAGTGCAACTAACCTACATGAATGCAATGACTGCTTTTATTAGCATGCGGGGTTTTTTAATTTAATGAGGGAAAATACAATTTGGTGAAGGGAATTGGTTGGGTTTTTTTTTTTTTTTAGATACGTTTAAGCCTGGTTTTTTGGATGTGTATGGTCATTAACTGAGAAGTGGTTAAAAGAGCTTTGAAAGGAGACCGTTAGTGTAGCTAGTGTTCTTGTGTGTCTGTTGCTGAACAAGGCTCTTAATTGCAATACTACTGAACTTCTCTGAACATAAGCATCTCTGTACGTGAGCATTAAATGAATGCACAAGGAATGGATAGGTTGGTGAGTTTGGAGGATGAGAAAGGAGTGGAGAAATTGGAGGTGAAGTGTACCTAATCTTTTCCTTCTATTTGCATAAGTACCTGGATTGTAGTTACACAGTTGCTTTAACTCAAATTCTGTCCCAGTTCCCACTGTCCATTTTGGATATTGATTTTGTTCATACCACTGTATGATGAGCCAGATCAGGAAGCTAACCTGACTGAAATTGTATTTGGTTTTGTGATCAGGTTAACTTCCAGCAAAATCCATTCCCCAGGCTGGATAACTGTGCATAGCATGAGTATTAGTACTACTGGTAGTATGACTAAAGCTACGATCATGAACAATTGGGGCAGAAGACTCATCAGCTCTTCTTGGTTATATCATGGACTGATGCTAAGTTAACGTGGAACTAGAGGCAGTCATGCATGGCTTAAAACTTTTTACCCTAAACTGACCCGGTTCAAAACGCAATCATTGCACTGCCTTGCAAAACTAGATTTGTGATACAGTGTAGAGAGAAGAAACGCTTTTCTCGTTTAAAAAGCACTTTGATTTTGTAGCTTATGAAATTACTTTAAAGCATCTATGTAATGTTAATAAATGTGTTCTCTGGGAAGTTTTTCAATGAACTTGTACACTGCATCTGACCTCCAGACAACTGAAAGTAATTAGAAATTGAATTTTAAAATCAGTGCCACAGCATTGCCAAGTCTGTTAAAATCTTTTCTTGTGCGTTACTGTAATGGATGCTGTAGCTATTATAATTTTGTTGTATAGTTCTGAGTAGTTCAGATCAGGCTGCATATAAATGAGGAGGAAAAGGCAGTTCCATGCAAAGTAAAGTCATAGAAGCAGAGCAGTTAGTTGAATTAGCTGATATACTTTGTCCACTTTTTTGCTGCCATGGCTATCTGTGTTATCAACCTTATTTCTAGAGATAAAGCTCTTCCCTAGGTAGCCTAATTTAAAAATGACTTGGGATAATTTATTACTTCTTTTAATGTTGTGTTCTCTGGAGTACTCTTCTGCCTCCAAAATTTTCTCAGTGTCAGGAATATTTTTCTTTCTTTAATATGTCAGCAAAGGCAACCTAGAAATAGATCTTAAGTTTTTCTGGTGAGTATAGGAGTTGGGGGCGGGGTGGGGGGGAACCCTGCATGTGGTTTTCCAGTGTAAGGATAAAATCTTCTCAGTTCTTTGCTGATTCAGTTTTTATGTGTGTTTTTTCTGAAGAGCTTGCTTGTTGCAGGTGACTAGAAGTTTGCAATGATTTTCTAAACAATTTTTGTTGGCTTTATACTATATACCTTAGCTGCTATTTAACAATCAACACTTAGCTATAACTACCACAAACAATGAAATAGATCAAAAATGTGTGTAACTCCCATGTGGGGGGAGAATACAGCAGAATTTCAAATGCTAACACTTAGCAACTATAAGTAAACTGTTATTTTCTTTTTTTAAACTAAGACCTATGATATATCTGTTAAATTCTTTTTTGTTTGAATCCATTTGGGAAACAAAATGTTTCCATATGCAAATTATTTTGTAATTTAAGCAGTATGTTGAACTTTCAGTGAACAGGTTAAAGGAAAACATCTAGGACATCCGTGGTCATCTTGCAACATGTTTAACTCTGCAGGGACAATTCGCAGGATTTTACACCCAGGTATTTCTTCTTCTGAATGAAATCACCACATAGAAAAGTATAATATTTATATGTAATTATGTTTTGAAGTAAAATGTTAGCAGCCTTCCAGGTAATAGTAAACTTTGTTAGCTGCAACTTGCAAGGTCTTGTATTTAGCATCTTCAAAGAAAGTGGAGCATATCAAACTTAAATCTTCTTACAGTTTCTAAATATACTTGCAGATTCATGAGGATAGAATTACAGTGTTTCCGTAGGTTAAGAAGGAAAAGAAGGCTATTTGAGTTATAGCACTCCATTTACAGCATAAGGCATGGGACTAGAAGTGAAAAGATGGGTGTTCTTTACTTTTGTTTTGCTTTGTGATACAGAGTGAACTATTCTGCTAGCACTCAGATTTACATTGGTGATATGGAGATAACGTTATCTCATTAAGAGGGTTTATATTCTCTTACCTGCTGAAGCTGCTGAGCAGCCCTCAGGTCCCCGTGTCTTCCCAGATAGGAGTAGCAGAACACTGTAGGTTTTTTCCAAGAAAGAATTTACCTTCGTGCTGTATGATCTATTGGCCTTTCTCAGGTAGCAGAAAAGTTCCTCTATGTAATAATAATGTCTCTCTTAGTTGCCTGGGCAGTACAAGTCAACTATACTGTGTACCTGGTGGAAAGCTGAGGAAGGATGAAACAAAGAATTTATTTTTTTTTTAGTTACCATTGTGAGTAATTGTCTGGCCTCCCACTTAGTAGAAGTCTTGCAATGTGTTTATCATGGAATTGTTTAGATTGCAAAAGACCCTTAAGATCATAAAGTCCAGCCATAAACCTAACACTGCTAAGTCCACCGCTAAACCATGTCCCTAGGGACCTCATCTACCCATCTTTTAAATACCTCTAGGGATGGGGACTCAACCACTTCCCTGGGCAGCCCATTCCAATTCTTGATAACACTTCCAGTGAAGAAATTTTTCCTAATGTCCAATCTAAACCTCCACTGGTACAACTTGAGGCTGTTTCCTCTTGTCCTATTGCTTGTTGCTTGGGAGAAGAGACCAACACTCACCTCACTACTGCCTCCTTTCAGGTAGTTGTAGAGAGCCATAAGGTCTCCCCTCAGCCTCCTTTTCTGCAGACTAAACAACCCCAGTTCCCTCAGCCACCCCTCATAAGACTTGTGCTCCAGACCCTTAACCAGCTCATTGTCCTTCTTTGGACACAGTCTAGCACCTAGAGTGTCTTTCTTGTGAAGGGCCCAGAATTGAACACAGTATTTGAGGTGTGGCCTCACCAGTGCCAAGTATAAAGGGACAATCACTTCCCTAGTCCTGCTGGCCATACTATTCCTGATACAAGCCAGGATGCCATTGGCTCTCTTGGCCAACTGGGCACACTGCTAGCTCATATTTGGCCAGCTGTCAACCAACACTCCCAGGTCCTTTTCCACTGGGCAGCTTTCCAGCTACTCTTCCCCAAGCCTGTAGCGTTGCATGGGTTTGTTGTGACCCAAGTGCAGGACCTGGCGCTTGACCTTGTTAAACCTAATACAGTTGGCCTTGGCCCATCGATCCAACCTTTCCAGATCCCTCTGCAGAGTCCTCCTCCCCTTGAGCAAATCGACACTCCCACCCAGTTTGGTGTCATCTGCAAACTTACTGAGGGTGCACTCAATCACCTCATCCAGATCATTGATAAAGATATTAAACAAAACTGGCCCCCATACTGAGCCCCGGGAAACACTGCTTGTGACTGGCCACTAACTGGATTTAACTTCATTCACCACCACTCTTTGGGTCCATCCCTCCAGCTAGTTTTTTTTTTTTTACCCAGTGAAGAGTATACCTGTCCAATCCATGAGCGGCCAGCTTCTTCAGGAGAATGCTGTGAGAGTGTCAAAGGCCTTACTAAAGTCTCAGTAAACAGCATCCACAGCCTTTTCGCTCATCTACTAAGTGGGTCACCTTGTCATAGGTGATCAGGTTCATCAAGCAGGACCTGCCTTTCACAAACCCATGCTGACCGGGCCTCATCACCTGGTTGTCCTGAATGTGCTGCATGGTGGCACTCGAGGTGTTCTGCTCCAGAACCTTCCCTGGTACTGAAGTCAGGCTGACAGGCCTCTAGTTTCCCAGATCCTCCTTCTGGCCCTTCTTGTAGATGGTCATCACATTTACAAACCTCCAGTCAACTGGGACCTCTCCAGTTAGCCAGGACTGCTGATAAATGATGGAAAGTAGCTTGGTGAGTACTTCTGCCAGCTCCTTCTGTACCCTTGAGTGGATCCCATCTGGCCCCATAGACCTGTGTGTGTCTAAGCAGTGTAGCAGGTTGCTAACGATTTCCCCTTGGATTGTGGGGGCTTCATCCTGCTCCCTCATTCCTGTCTTCCAGCTCAGGGTGCTGGGTGCCCCAAGAACAATTAGTTTTACTGTTAAAGACTGAGGCAAAGAAGGTATGAAGTACCTCAGCCTTTTCCTTGTCCTTTGTTATGATGTTTCCCCTTACATCCCACAGAGATTCTCCTTAGCCCTCCTTTTGATGCTAAAGTATTTACAGAAGCATTTTTATTGTCTTTTATGGCAGTATCCAGATCAAATTCAAGATAGGCTTTGGCCCTTCTAATTTTCTCCCTGCATGACCTCACAACATCCTTGTAGTCCCCCTGAGTTGCCTGCCCCTTCTTGCAAAGGTCATGAACTTTTTTTTTTTTTTTAAAAATTTTTTTTTTATCTTCCCTGAGCTCCAGCCAAAGCTCTCTGTTCAGCCAGGCTGGTTGTCTTCCCTGCTGGCTCATCTTTTAGCACATAGGGACAGCCTGCTTCTGTGCCTTTAAGATTTCCTTCCTGAAGAATGTCCAGCCTTCCTGGACTCCTTTGCCCTTCAGGACTGCCTCCTGAGGGACTCTGTCAACCAGGCTCCTAAACAGGCCAAAGTCTGCCCTTTGGAAGTCCAAGGTAGCAGTTCTTCTGACTGCCCTCCCGCCCCGCCCCCCACTTCTCCAAGAATCAAAAACTATCATTTAATGATCGCTGTGCCCAAGATGGCCTCCAGCCATCACATCACCCATTAGTCCTTCTCTGTTTGCCAACAAAAGGTCCAGCAGAGTGCCTTCCCTAGTTGTCTCACTCACCAACTTCCACGCACTCCAGGAACCTCCTACACTGTTTCCTTTCTACTGTATTGTATTTCCAGCAGACATCTGGTAAGTTGAGGTCCCCCAGGAACATTGGCTAGCTATTGTGAGGCTCCTCCCAGCTGCTTATAGAATATTTTGTCTACCTCTTCATCCTGGTTGGGTGGTCTGTAACAGACTCCCACAATGATATCTGCCTTGTTGGCCTTTCCCTTGATTCTTACCCATAAACATTCGACCCGGTTGTCACCATTGTTAAGATCTAGACAATCAAAACATTCCTTAACATACAGGTCTACCACACTGCCTCTCCTTCCTTGCCTATCCCTTCTGAAGAGTTTATAGCCATCCATTGCAGCACTACAGTTGTGTGAGTCACCCCACCATGTTTCTGTGATGGCAACTACGACATAGTTTTTCTGCTGCACAATGGCTTCCAGGGCCTCCTGTTTGTTGCCCATTCTGTGTGCATTGGTGTAGATGCACTTCAGCTGGGCTATTGATCCTGCCATCTTTTGGGGAGGAGAAACCCTCATTCTTAAGTGACCATTCTCGGGCACTTCCATGGTTCTAACACATCCGTAACCCTTGTGTCTTTGCTGCTGCTGCATGGATCTCCGTCCCCTGCCTCCATTGAGATGGCAGACTGAAGGACCTTGCTAGCACACTGACCCTCAAACATTGGTGTGCTGTCCCCAGGCTTATCTCTAGTGAGCATGATTTTCTTCCCTTCCCCCTTCAAATCTAGTTTAAAGCTCTTTCAATGAGTCCTGCTAACTCCTGTGTAAAGATCCTTTTCCCCCTTTGAGACAGGTGTACTCCATCTATCTCCACCAGCAGGCCTGGTGGTGTGTAGACTGATCCATGATCAAAAAACCCCAAATCCTGCTGGTGACACCAGGCTTGGAGTCAGGTATTGATCTGCTGGCTTTTCCGGTGTCTTCCCTCATAATTCCCTGTAACTGGAAGGGTAGAGGAGGACACTATTTGTGCTCCCTCATCCCTTCAGGGTCCCAGGGCCCTGTCTTGATTGCCCTCGGACTTCTTGTTGCAACTTTATGGCTGCCTACCTGAAAAATCAATAATGGTTAGTCATTTGAGGTCTGTACCAAGGTAGGAAGCTTTCTCTTCACATCTTTAACCCAGGCCCCAGGGATACAGCAGACTTCCCTAAGAAGTGGGTCCAGTCTGCATATTGGGTCTTCTGTTCCCCTCAAAAGGGAGTCTCCTATGACAATGATATGTGTCTCCTTTTTTTTTTTTCTTTTCCTTTTCTTTATGGAAGTGGTTTTGATGCAGGGTGCAGGCTGACTTAACCTTGGTGACACCTCCAAGCTACATGAACTATCATCCTTGTCAGTGTTTGATTCCACTTGCAATACCTGTCATGCAAGGAAACCTGGGAAGGTGGGGCAGTCACAGAGGAGGTGTGCCTGCTGCACTGGGCAGGAACTTGTTGCCATTGCCCCCTGTCCCTTAAGTCGCTGTGTTCAGCCAGGCAGACAGAGGATAGGGAATCCTCTGTATCGTGTGTCCTGTCTGCCTGTTGGGCCTGTCCCAGGGAAGGTAGGGTGTGATTCCAGTAGTCTCTCTCTCTTGCTCTCTCTGATACTCCTCAACCTACTTGCCTCCTCTGGAGCTCTGTCACTAAGTGGAGGAGTTCCTCTACCTGGGCATACCTCCCACAGGTGTGCTTACTACTGCCGTCTGATACTGGCATAAGAGTAGGGCACACCCTGCAGCCTGACAACTGGGTGGCACTGTGTTCCCACTGGAGCTCTGTCTAGGAAGCTGCATCGGTCGTGGTGGGTGCAGAGTTTAGAGAGGCCATGGCTTTCTGCTGGGTGGATGCTTGAACTCTGGGGGACTGAAATTACCTGCTTTGCCTTGACATGCTCTCAATATTGCAGCTCAGTGTTAAGACAGAGGTAATAATCAAGACACAAGTATCCAGCCTTTATTTAAGAGTCATAAAGGATTCTAACGTTTGGCTAGATATGTTCTGCGCATTTATACCCCACTCTGTCCTCACACTTGCATGCCCAGGACTGGAAGCCTGAGGATGGTTAAGTACTCTGAGACAGAAGATGCCTGCCTGGCTGGTACTCCGGTCATACATTCATAATCACGCTGCTGACATACTGCCTAACTAGGAAGAGAAACGATGGTAAATACCACTGAGGAATTTGTGGGTGACGTTACACTATCCTCTACAGCACATTCTGGTTCATCAGCAGGGAACATATCAATACCTCTCACCCAATTTCTTGTGATTGCAGCAGTTTTGGCCTCTCTTGAGGACAGAGATATGTGTGCATGCATGTGTCCGTGTGTGTGTTCTCTCTGGGCTTGCTTATATCTGACTAGTCTTACGTTTAGACTTCCTTTCCTGCCAAGCAATCAGAAAACAAGAGGACAATGTATCCTGGAGTAAATGAGAGGCTGTGGCACAGCATTTTAACCAAGGTTTTGCTCAAAGAGACCATGATGGGTATAGAACTAAGCATATTCAGGGCCATGTGTGGAAAGCCCCCAAAAATGGAAATGTGGTTTGGTATAGTACATATGGCCCTGATACACAAGAGGCAGGGGGTATTAGCTGGGTCAGCTTTGAAATTTATGGCATTTTGGGGGTGGGTGGCAGAATAAAAAAAAAATAATCACAGCTTCATGCGAGCTGCTGATTTTTTTTTTTCCTAAGGTATGTTAGTATTTTATAGCTGCTTTTTCATTCTACACGATAGCTTGTGTGTAGTTAGAGCTCTAAGCAAGTTGTAGATTTTTTCCATTTGCATGTCTGATGGACAAAAGTTATATAACGCAGTTTCACTTGTATCCACTGTAGGATTGTTCAGTAGGTCAGGCTGAACTGAGGGGTACTTAAAATACTAGCTTGTGTATTTTTAATAATGTGCTAAGACTTACGGAGAAAGTTTCCATTAAAAATTAATTGAATCAAAGTTGAAGTAGCATGAGTATCTATGAAGTAGCATGATGGTCTTCATCAGATCCAAAGTTTCTATATTATATTTTTACTTAAGACAGAGTGTAATTTGCTTAATACTTTGTATTAGTTAAGACTTCATATCCAAGTTGGCCATTGTTCTCTGTGTAACATACAGGTTCTATACTTGGTGCCTTGTTTTCCTTGGTGCTCTTTAGAGTGCATGCTTGTATGCAAGCTTAAAAAAAGAGCATTATAGTGAATCTCTTGTTCAACTGTCTTTCAGATTCATGCACTTTTAGTTTCATTGGTGTTAAGCAGTTAAGTGAGAAAATTATACTGAAAAAGTATTTAGTCTAGATAATCATGTGCTTATTTTACAGGTACACCTGGTATTAAAGTTCTCATGCCAGCACTTTCTCCTACAATGGAAGAAGGAAACATTGTGAAATGGTTAAAAAAGGAAGGTAAGATAGCATTTTCTATGGCCAGATCTGTTGTAGTTCTTCAGCTATATAAATCTATTTATATGCTTATAATGCTTATAATCCTTCTGTCTGCAAGGGATACACATAACTACATAATCCTCCATTGAGCTGGCCATATAAATGTAGTGGCATTACTCAATGGAAATGTTTGATGATCTTATATCCAAGGAAATATTTTAAATTGACGGAAGAAAGCTGCTCATTGCAAATTAAATGTTTTTCCCACTGTATAACCAGCAGGGGTCAGTAGAATACTATTCGATAATTTTTCTGCTCTTTAGGTAAATATCAAATGTTTTCATTTTATGGTTTCACAGGATGGACAGATGATTCAGTACTGCAGAAGGAAAATACTGAATTTAATTGACAGCTTTACTATTTTCTTCTCATTGTTAATGCAGTTTCATATTGATTCTTGTGGGTCATAAAGTTGTTCTTGTAAAAATATAACTGTGTTTCTAAAACTTTGTATTTACTATATATGAATTTAAAGTTGATGAAAGATGATAGATTGACAGCCCTGGAGACCAAAATCCTTTTGTTGTGGGCAGGAAACAGAATATGCAACAATGCTAGCAGTTTCCTCATACAGTGTAACTGCTACCTTTTGAGATACCACCTCCATGAACTCCAGTCTCTATGCTCAGTCAACTTTGATTTGGTTTGTGAAGAGTATATCAAGGAATGTAGTTTGTGTCTTGTGATTTGGATACTTGTCTGTCTGTAATTGAACAGAGCATGTAGGCTATTGAATGCCAATGGGATGTGATCTCCTAGAGGGAAATTTGGCTTCAGTAGAGATCCTAATCATTCAGCCTGGCTATAAGAACTTAATAATTTAAAAAAAAAACAACAACCACCCAAACCAAACAAAAAACAAAACAAACCCCCCCCCCAAAAATCCCCCACCCAAAGCTTTTCAAGGGCATTATATAAAATTTCAGAGAGCTGCCATTCAGGCAACTTCTCTTGCAAATATTGCGTGCTCATTAGAAAACATAAGAGCAAAGATATGCTCTGCAAAAGTGCTCCTTCCAATCCTATCTATTGGGAAAGCTGACTTGTAATTCACATCGAAGTGGGCATTGATTAGGAGCTATCACAATTTTTGCAATCTCCTTTCTATTGCACTTGGGTATGGAAAAACATGAGATTTTTGAACGATGCTATGAAATATTCTTCTTAAAATTGCATTTAATCAATTGCCTTCCAAACTTATGACCACTTCTTGGCTGCAGCAGTGATAGGAAAACAATAAAAGTAGTGGAAAAGTGGTTTGCCTGGTTCTTTGAAGACTTTTCCTCTTGCCTTCCCTATGCAAGGGAATCCTTAGCTTTCTGTGAACAGCCTCACATACCCAAGTTAAGAGAGATGTCATGTGTGAGAAACACGTGGATGAAGGTATTTAATTTGGCTAGCTTGCGCTGTTGGAGTTACTGCTGCAGGTTGCTTAGCACCGAGATTTCTTTTTAATAGTGCAGAACACTCACAGTCTAATTGCAGATTGGAAGAAGAGAATAATTAAGACACAGGGAGTTAAGTTCTTTTCTCCTTGCCTATCTTTGCTCTGTAGGTTACAGAATTCGCCCAACAATTTGATTTATTAACATCTATGAAGTACTTAACTAATGATCTGATATATGGGCTACTTGAATTAATGATCAAATGGAATTAAAACACTGATACAGAGCCTGGAATTTTGACTTCCTGTTAAAACTGTTTATGCTCTAGTTACTGCAAATTGCAGTGCGGCTATTAGATTATGAAATTAAAAAGACCAGGTGCTACTTTGTGTACTCCTGTGCCAAGTTCTGTAATAGGAACATTTATGACTTAAAAAACCATGTAAGTGACTGAGCCTTGAATGTTTCCATTGTTTACTACTGTGAGATCACAAGGATCATACAATGCTTCGTTTCGCCTTTCTAATTCAGGTAGTCCTGAAACAGGAAATAATTATTTTAAAAAAGGTGTTTATCTCTTACCTAAATACAGGTGGTGAACTGCAGTAGCTTTGTTTTGATGCTTAAGTACAACAGAGTGTGATACTGGGAATTAAATGCTTAGACAGATAATACTGTAGCAGCATTTCTGGTACTGGGAAAACTTTAAAATTTTGCTTCATATAAAAATTGTAGTCATGTGTTAGGCTTGTATGTATTTTCCCTACTTTTTATTGGTTTGTAAGGAAAAGGTTATCATATTCTGTTGGAGGCCAAAACATTCAACTTCCTCAAAGATTTTCAATGCAATTTCAATTTTAATGTTGGCCATCTAGTCAGTGTTGATTTGTCAAAAGAATCCAGACCCATAGTATCTTTATTGTGCACTAGCAGGTACAGATATACTTCAAAAGCAGAGGAAGACTACAAAATTAATTATAGATTTGTGTAATGTAGCAAAAGTAATTTCTAACACTTGTGCATATTTTTGTTTCACAAAGTGCATTTCTAAAAGACCTTTTTTTAACTGTATAGGAGATTGGAAAGAATGTCTGCAAGCTTGTTTCCTCATAGACACTAAGGTTCCTGAGGTTTTTATTTTAATATCTTTAATAGTGTAGATACAAACTAGACAACTGTGATACTTAGATGTTGTTGCCTGTGACTGTTGTCTTAAATTATAGTTTTAAATAACTTGCTTTGACTTATGGCTTGCAATGAATATGGAAGACTCAGGATTTTATTCATGGCAGTTTTACTGAGTGATGGTGTTGTGTACTTCCTCTTGGAAAACCTACTGTAACCATCAGTATTTTGAATATTTTAATGTTCTGCAGCAGCAGTGTGTGTCTCTGAATCTTTGTTTTTATTTGGAAATGAAAGATACAGTATGATAAATAATGATGGGGGATCAGTTAGCTATAGAATGTGTTAAAGAATTTAAAATGGTTGTATTATATGGATAAGTATCTATCTTCCATGGTTAAATATGCTATGTATTCTTAAGTTCTGTTATATTTTGCAGGTGAAACAGTGAATGCTGGAGACGCATTGTGTGAAATTGAAACAGACAAAGCAGTGGTTACCATGGAGTCAAGTGATGATGGCATATTGGCTAAAATACTGGTAGGATTATGCTCTTCTGAGTATGATGATATAACTTTTCTTCAGACTGTCATTTAGCATATTGCCTCAAAAGCTAGTTTAGATAGCTAAATTTCCTTCTGCTCAGTTTTTGGAATAATGCACTTGCATTTCTAGTGAGAAATAATTGCTCTTTTTATTCTGTACATGTACCAGACTACTGGCACATAGTTGTGGTTTAACTTGGCAGGCAGCTGAACACCACACAGCTGCTCGATCACTCCCCCCCACCCCCAGTGGGATGGGGGAGAGAATCAGAAAAAAAAAAGTAAATTAACTCTATCCCAGCTGAAACCAGGAGAAATGGTACATGATTCTATGTGTGTTTAATGGATTTTCATTTAACCTGATTGAATTATGTCAATTTGTGTTTTACACCTTATGAATTGTATCCATGAAGTATTGCAGTTTGACATCATTTAATTATAGAAAACCAAATTACAATCAGTTAGTTGGAATATGGAATTTTTCGATGGTACTTTACCCAGGATGTGTGATCTCTGTGCTGTTATCTTGTGCTGGCCATTGAAGATGGAACACTATACAAGATGGCCTGACCCAGAGGACAATTCTTAAAATTATTAATTTCCTGTGTTCTTAAAATTAGATTAAGTAGGCTTAGTATAAAGAATAAGACCTGGGATGAATGTGGAGTTCTCTGAGCATCTTTTTGAAGTATTTGTGTGTATGTATATATATAACAGAGATAATGGTCAGTTTGGGTTCCTTGTTTAAGGGCTTTAAATCCTGTTCTGTACCAAGATGGATGCAACTAGACTACAGAGATCAGGATGAAAGACTTGGGTCTAATACTGCATTGCTTAAAGTCTGCTTGCAAGTCCTGTACTATTCTTTACATACTGTATTCTACAAAGACGAGTCAAATTCTTTATCCTTTCCTTTTTCCTCCTCCTCTTCTGTAACTTTTTTGAAAAATGTTTCTTGTTTGAAAATCCCCTGATGTTAATTCTCATCAGAATTTAGAACAGTGGGGCTGTAATTCTGAGGCCTTCTGTTGCTACTTCTGTGTAAAAGTAAATATTACATTTTCCGAAAGCTGGTATTTGATTCCTTAAAAATTACAGGGGACTACTGTTCTTGTTCATAAAATATGTATAACGGGAAAAGTATTTTAGAGTTTCTTGTCTTTAGGGAGAGGAATGAAAGTTCTTATCAATTGTGCATAAAGACGGAAAGGATTTTCACTCCCTTTCAATATTTACCACTTTTTCTAAAATTTTCTCCAAACAATATCCAAATCTGTGGAGTTCTCTTATTTATCCTGTGAAGGCTTAAATTGTCAGCTAACCTCTAGCATATCCAACAAGAACACTATTTTTTCTTCTTCGTTTTTAGAAATTAGGTATATAAGCTTGGATAATCTTAAATATGATTTTGCAATGAATCTGCGGCTTGATTAAGATAAAACAACTTGCTCAGTTACAATTGTAGGCAATCTAGTTGGGCAGTCAAATAAGCAGCTAAATGGGGAAACAAGATTCTGCAACTTAATATTTCTCAGGTTTAATGTGTATACTGATATATAAAGAGCTTCTTACCACACTTAAAGACCCTACCTATGAGCTAGTGTCTCCAAGAAAAGTTATGAAACATTTCGTAGTGTTGAAACCACAAGATACTGAAGAAATCTACTTGAATAATTGTGTAGCGTCTTAGCTTTTTTTGGTGGTAGACATGTTAAAATGAAGTACTAATGTACTGTTACTTTGTCTTAACCAGGCACCTTGGCTGTCTTGGCATGCAGGATGTCAGATTTGGTTGTTCCAAGACTATTAATTTAGCTTGTATTTTTTCTGTCGAAGGATCCTTTGTGTCTTGAAACAGTGCTTAATAACTTGGGTTTCCAGCATTGTAGTGTTTGCCTTTCTCTGGCTTCTTACCTTTGCATACCACTCCATTGCTTCACCAACCAATTACATCTACAAAGTGCTGTTGAACCTGGTGAGAAACGAATAGTCTGCAGCAGGGTTGGATATTTGCCTTTACTTGGGTGCGGCCTGGCATGATTTGGTGCAGAGGGGATGCGTGACTATGCAGCTGTATGGTGCCACTCTTTTTACCACCACACTCTTACAGTGAATGTGGAGGGCTTTGTCTTGGGGTTTATATATAAATACTGTTGTAGCTTCAACTGCAAGTTTTCACACTTCAACTTGTACATCAGAGTTTCAACTCCTGCATTAAAGTTACAAAGAATGTGCCATTAACGTTCATCTGAAAAGTCAGGTTTTAAATGACTTGCCTCTGTACTGTGTGGGAACTCAGTAGCAGAAAGGACTAAGCTTCAGTTCTGCAGGACAATATTCAGTTGTCTTTCATGCTTCTCCTTCAGTTCATTGCCTCATTCCTTATATATCTTTTATATCATAAAAAAATCCCAACCATAAATGAAAGGCTGCAAAAATGATGAAGCATGAATGCCCTAGAGATGAAACTCCATCTCTTTGTACAATCTTGATATGGCTTCATAGAAAATGGAAGAAATACAAGTGAGCATGTCATTAAAGACTAAATAATACTTATACAGAAATTGTGCTGATTCAGTGTTTGACTTTCCGGTAATGTAAAAATGGTCTTTTGCTGTTCTTGCGTGTAGAAATCATTAATAAAGCTGTAATACACTTTTTCTTGCACATTTTCCAAATTTTCATGATGCTTATAGGCTAGCCTATGCCTCATTTGAAAGCAAAGAACACTTGTAAATTATAGTCTGTGTTCCTTACCCTCACAAGACTCCATCCTTGTGGTTTGCTTCGGAGGACTAAAATCTTGTTTATTTCTTATGCTTTTGTCTCCCACACTCCTCACACTGTGAAATTTTCAGAATAGTCTCATTTCCATACTGGTGGAGTATTGCAGCTGATTCTTCCCCCCCTCCACAATAATTAAACAATAGGATGAATTGGAACAACTTTGAATAAAATAAATAGAAATATTGTGAGAAATTGTTTTGCCATATGTGTAATAGATTATGAAACACTTTGTCGAAATGTTTAGTTCAAATTGGTATGTTGGGAGAGAAGGGAGTGGAAAAAATATAGAGATTGGGAAGTAAAATGTAGTAAGATGAGTGTAATGAACTTGGAAAATTCTTGGCTGAATAGAAATGGTGGTTTAGAGTGAAGATACTGCAGTTAGAGTTCTCCTCTAAGAGAACAGATCCAAGACTCCAGTGAAGAGCTATATTGAACAAAATCCTTTCTGTGACAGGGAGAAGGGGAGGGGGGAAAAAAAAAACAAACCAGAAAAAAACCAAACTAGAACAAAAAAAGAAACCCCTCTTGCATCAACAGTAAGACCCAACTGAGAGATCCAACCTTTGAGTCTTTAATTGACAAAAGTAATTTTTATGGAGCTATAAAAAAAATTAATTTACTATATAGGTTTTCATTCACTGAATGCCACTTAACATATACTACTTCACTCACTTCCTCTCTTCACTGAGATCCTTTATGTTCTGTGGTAGAAATATTTTTACAGTTTTAAACCGATAATATGAAGGATAATACTCTTAAAATGGTTATTTTTGTTTTGCATGATCTGTTTAAAAGGTTGTTAGCTCATAATCTGCATACCAATTTTGTTAGTGTTTTCTTAAACAGTTTTTTTAGAACCTGTTGATAATTGGAAAATATGATTTCAGAATTAAATGTGAGATTTAAATGTGAGATTCCTTTTAAGCTATAAAAGCTTTCCCCTTCTTAATGTATAGGGGTCAAATATCAGGGTAGAAGTATTTTATAGACTGCAATGAGCCTTAAATGCAGGAAGAAACAATAGGAATTCCACTGTGTTTAGGGTGAAATGAAGTTAAAAGTATTTCTAGTTTTAGTATGCAAAGTTGTATAAGCACAAAGTAATATTCTTGAATCTTCAATTAATATTTCAACTAATCCATACCTCTTCTGGAAAAAAGTTGTTCTCTATTTTAGCTCTATGTGATCATATCTTTTGATCAATAAATAACTAGAAGAAGTCTGAAACTTTTCTAACTCTACTCCAAATCTCTTTGTGGAGATGATATCCACTATTTCAGGCATGCTTCTGAGCTTGAATGCTTATCTTAAAGACCAACAGCTCTATGGAGTTGTTACCTAAAAGATGTGACTGTTCTTGTAGATCCACACTAAACAAAGTGTATTGGATGCTGTCCTGCAAATGTTGCTTTATATACATGCACTTGTTAATAACGAGACTATTTAAAGCGTAATGGCATTCAGTCAAAATTGAAAAGGATTTATGAAAAGATACTATTGTCTGAAAAATGAAATGGGCATGAAATTTACATGTCTGTTTCCTTGGTATTTGCTTTGTTACTTGATGTTTGCTCTGCTCCATTCTTTCTCTGTGTTTAATAAAAACATTTCACAATCAAGTTAAGTTTAAGTAGACAGCAGGAAGAAGAATTAAAAATTGGGGGGAGGCTGGCGTTCCACAGAAATCTTACGCTGTTTCTGAAGGCTGTAGTTATTAAACTTTGTTGTGATCACAAGCGTTGCTAGTAAAATTTCCCTGGAAGATATTGCAGTCTTTGGTCTTAGCACTTAGCTATATTTGTAGTTCTAAAAAGGGTGGATAGTGACTTAATTAGTTAACTGCAAGAACCTGGAAGAGAACACAGAAGATCAGAATGGATGAAGTGGGGTGAAATTTGGCAGTGTAAGGTGCAGAGTTAAGAAGGTATAAGTAGGTTAGAAAAGGACAAGTCATTTATTACTGCAGCCTCCTGTACTGACAACAGTTCAAATTTACGTAATTTGCTGACAGAGACTCTTTACATGCTATGACACCATTCTGTATCTGCATTTAGAAAAAATATTTCTCAATCATCAGAGGTAAATTATTGTAGAAAAATAAACTGTCTTTCGTATTCTCTTGATGCAGTAGCCACAAATTGCAGCTGATAACTGTTCCATTTATCACACTCATTTTTATGTACTGGAAGACTCTTAACACATCTC